TGGGAGAGAGCAAACAGCCTTTCCTCACCCCGACCGTTGTCCTGAACCAGTCCCCCATACTGCCATTAAGGTAGACTGCGCTGGAGGCCTTGTCATATAGTTGTTGTATGACGTTGATCAGGTTGTTTTTCTCTTTACTATTCCCCTGTTTTATCTGTCTGTACATCTCACTTTTTCCTCGTAGCACTATAATCATTATTATGGCCTTTGTTCTGTGTATGTGCTTCTCTTTTCCCATGAAGCTATGTCGTGCACGTAGCAGCAACAGGGTCAGTGGTGTAGCTGTCGGGCACTTTTACTTCGCACACAGAAGACACGAGTTAGATTCGGGGAGAATATTTGTGGTATACTTTTCTTTGCCTGCTCGGACTTTGTATCCCTCTCAGCCCTGGATGGCCCTGACAGGCATAGTCAGAGTGGCCCGCTTCCTAAATGATCCAACTCGTGTCTATGGGGGCGTAAAATATCAGCAGTTACTTTTTTTGAAGTACCGACAGCCCACTCTATACCCACGACGCAGATAACATAGTCTTCAGCTGACCAGCTGAATACTCTTTCCACGTTCAGAAGCGTCCTTGGAGAACGCAACTTTTAATATCCGATATCTCAGGGCATGTCGGGAACCGAGTGGACAAAGGTTCCATCTGCTGTACGTTATTATTATAGATGGACCGTACTGACTCTGTGGTCCGGGATTTGTCGGCGATAAGTAGTTTATATTTATGTAACGGGGCCACGAAGTCCACGCGATAAGTCCGGAGGGTAGCGAAGCGCTACTTTACAGGGTGCTTGCTCCAATAAAGTGGTACCGGCGTCTGGCTTGGAACGGTTACGCTCTTCACCGTCAAAATCAGAAAACGTGAGTTCGGTGTGATAAATATTTGTTGGGGTGTTACTGCTATTGTGTTGTTGTTGTTGTTGTTGTTGTTGTTGTTTAACACCAATATCTCTGATCGCTGGAATGCTGCTTCCCTCGCAGCATGGGTTGATGCTACCCGCCTCCTAAATGTGAATGTATTGTATTGTTACTATCCATTCACCTTTAGGGGCGAGATGGTAAAACATTTACATAAAATACATAATTGTATATGTTGAAGAGTGTTCAATGAGCTACGGAACACGAAAAGGATTAGAACAACAGTTGAGACGTTCATTTCTGTCGGCTTTGTCGGATGTCTAACATAATACATAATAGAAATACACAAAAACGGCACTTTCATAATTTTACAAGTGCTCATTTGCAGACGAAGAACGCTCCATTTTGTGCGACGTGATTCGATCTGAAATGATGTGGGTAAAATTATTGGCGGTTACACCTCTGCTGCTGGAGTGAATTACTGGATAATTCCAATTATAATAGCAACTGAATATTTATAGCACATATCCACTCTCTACAGCATGCTGTACGCGCTTTACAACGATTATTACCTAATTCCACCTGGATGTCTTGACGTGAGCGTGAAGCGCATATGAAATAACGGACATAACTGACTTCTAAGTTTGTGATTTCCAAAAAAAAGCTCACTGCACAGGTACCCTGTAAAGAGAGTTTTTGCGTCCATGAGCTTGTCAGAGAGCGCCTATCAGAATGAGGGGTCGAATGACCTCCTGTTACTCAGGAGCCACAAGGTTCCATTTGTGAAAGATTAATATCGTAGTTGAAACATTTTGAATTCGGGTCTTCTCCTCTGGTACTGACTTGGGAGTGTGCCTCCTGTAGATATCCCGGAGTCTCCGAGCAGGGCCGGCTGGCTGGCAGCACAGGTTTCCCGACGCGTGGTGATTGGCATGTAGAGAGGGGAGGCGGGGGTTATCGCTACTTGTTGGCTCTCGTGATTGCTGTTTGGGCTTTAGCGTCATGCGCTGTGGTCAGCGGTACCGGCACAGTGTGCTTGCTCCTGCGAGAATAAAAGTCCTTGGCCACTCATGTTTAATATCATCTTAGTTGTGTCTTTTCTTCTTTTTTTTTAACTTGTCTTTTTTTTATTCTCCCCCTCTCCCTTTTCTATTATCACGACATGCTCTCACCCTCTCTCTTGTGAGTGAGTGTGTGTGTGTGTGTGTGTGTGTGTGTGTGTGTGTGTGTGTGTGTGTGTGTGTGTGTCTATGTGTGTCTATGTGTGTGTCTATGTGTGTGCATGTGTGTGTGTCTATGTGTGTGTCTATGTGTGTGTCTATGTGTGTGTATGTGTGTGTGTGTGTGTGTGTGTGTGTGTGCGCGCGTGGACAGTGTCTTGCTGCGAAAAGAAATGCCCTTGGCCGCTCATGCTTAATATCATCTTAGTTTGGTCTTTTCTTCTTTTTTTAAAAACTTGTCTTTGAGTAACTCCCTCCTTTTTATTCTCCCTCTCTCCCTTTTCTATTATCACGACATGCTCTTGCACACTCTCTTGTGAGTGTGTGAGTATGTATGTGTGTATGTGTGTGAATATGTATGTGTGTGTACGTGCGCTCGCATGCGCGACGAATGGGGAGGGTCACAACAGGGGGTGAAGAGAGAGACAGAGAGACAGAGAGGGGGGGGGGGGGGGGGGCAGGAGAAAGAGCAGAAATAAATACTGGATTTATAATCAAGTTGTTACCTTCAATGCCTTATTTGTCATTTTACTAATTTTAGAGCCGTACACACTTCAAATGCCTGCATTTTCAACTGTTTTACTTACTCCTCAGGTCATGGAAGAGACAAATACTCAGATAACGTGGCCGTCCAAGCTGAAGATCGGAGCCAAGTCCAAGAAAGGTCAGAATTAGTTTTATAGCCGACCAAGGCCTATCCTACGATTGTATTATTGCAGTGAGAATAATAATTGCAATTTGTTGTTGTTGCTGGTTGGGGGGGGGTGATGTTTTTTAACCCTCCAAATGTCACTTACCGCACCCAAAGAAATCCTTCTAGTGTCTCTCCCAAGCTTGTAAGCGGGTTGTTATGACTGGAAAATCACAACCAGTGCCTTGTTAGCGCTGGCGTCAACAGTGTTTTCAGGCGTGGGGAAGAAAAATAGCTCTGAGGGAAAAAAATTTGTAGGGAGCGAGTCTGCGATAACTGCTCGTTCTTGTCTTCTGCCGCGCTGGAACTTTGAACTCTGTGTGTGTGTATGTGAGTGTATGTGTGTGTATGTGTAAGTGTGTGTGTGTGTGTGTGCGTGCGTGTTTGTATTATTACTATGTGCTTTTAAGCTTGCGTGATGCAACGTTTCGACAGATCACGTGAAATAGCTTTCTGTTCGCCCTCACTCCCACATATATATTATAGAAAACTTTATATAATGTATAATATTCCTTTGTGTGTGTTTTTTGGTATGTGTGTAATTCTGCCTGCATCCTTGCCTTTTTCTGTCGGACCGTTCTAGTCATTTCTCCTTGCCGGTCTTTTCTTTCATGTTACTTTATGTTCTGCTTTGTAATCGCATCGCTGACTACTGCACTTTCTATCATTCTTGAAGGGTTGGGGGGGGGGGGTTATTTACGTTTTTAAAACTTTGTTCCCCGTTGCTTTTGGAATCAGAGGCCCCTTTTTATTGTTGCCTTCTGTAATTCTTTTCTGTTATTAGTGAGTTGGTGGATTGCCACTTAACGTGTGGTGTCAGTCTTTTCTGCTGCACACAAAAGTATGGTACTTTTGATGCTTACTTGATCGCAAGGGCAAAAGCATGTAGTCTTACGCTTCACAAATTGAAAAAAATATAGCTCCTTTCCTTTCTCCTACATTTGCAGCAAAGGTGGGAATTGTAGATTTCTATTCGTTCTGGTGGTTGCCCCTGGCGTCGTCCATAAAAACTGTGTACTTGGGTTTTCTTGATGGCCATAGTGATATCCAATGACTGTTGAGACTGATGATGAAAGAGGAAATCATTCTACATCATGTCAGCAGGTTAACTATTTATTTGGTAGGGACGGGGCGTATTTCTATACTTAGAAGTGTTGGCTTAACGCTGACAGTGAAATACACCATTACAAATCTTTGTTCCGCCCTCTATTCTGTTACTGTATATAAAAACAAGTTATATTTATCTCTTTACTACTTTTCAATCATGTATAAAACATGTTGGTACTTGGTGTATGATTGCATCAAACCCATGTGTGATTTGTAATGAACATCTAGTTAAAAATGCCGGACAACGTCGAAGTGAGTACCTGTAAGTGAATATTTCACGCATCCTCCCTATATTGAAGTTAGTTAATGAGTGTTCTGATTATTGCGTCAGTACTGAATTAGGACTATCAAGATTAGAAAAGAAAATGCGAAAACATTTACCCTTAGACCACACCATATTGGATAACTGGCATGTACTTGCTGCGCTTTTCTTTGATGTTATGCAGCTCTGTAAAATATTTGAGTCTGCCCACCACACCGGCAATGAATTTCAATAACGCTCTTTCTCCACAAAGTTATCCATTTCCCAGCACCATAAAAACGATAGCTGTGTGGAACTGTCAGTACTACTCTGACTTTATTTTTCAAAAAGAAGGATGTTCTGAATTTTTAGCCATCATTTTGTTCAGTTTCTCCTCTGCCACTATTTAGGAGGTATTTGATTTTCCATTTCACCCTCTGTCTCGAACACACCCCACCCCCTTCCCCACAACCCATGTGGGCCCCCACACTTCGTGCAGTGTTCTCCTCAATGACCACGTCATCACCGGCTACTTTCTCGCCGCATCTGCCATCTGTCGGTAAAAGGATCCCCGCTGACTTGTTTGTCTAGTGTCTGTTTATTTTTGTTTTTTCTCACGTCGCTTTCTGCTACTCGCGTGGTTTCCCCTTGCTTCCATGCCGCCACCATCCACACCCCAACCTCCTTCTCTTTTTGCCACCAAAGCCTAAAAAGACCCCCCCCGAAAAAAGACAACTAGAAAACAACAAGGCAAAATACCCCCGGGTTTGTCTCTTTCCCCCAATGCACTTTCGTTCTCTCATTATTATCGCCCGTCTGCTTGGCCCAGGGGGCTTTGAAAAATGATAAGCAGAAATATTTATTGAGAAAACATCTAGAGGGGAGGCTAGATAAGCCAGAGCGTCTCAGCAGCAACCAGTTCGGTTTGAAGCGATCAAATTCTTTGAGCGCGAACAATTATGGTCGGAGTTTGGCCACTCAGGTTGCTGCTGAAGATGCTGCGGGGGCTATGAATCGTGGGATGAATTATACGTGTAAGTGAACAGGTCACGAATCTGTGAGAAGGAACATTTTTAATACCTTTTTATTTAGTTTGGGGGTAAGTGGAAGGTTGGGGGGGGGGAGTATACGAATCGTTAAATGGAATAGATAAAAAAAAAAAGTTCAGTCGTTCTGGGGCATATTTTGTTATGTCTTCATTCTATTTGTGATCTTATGAGAGCGTTCTCTTGGATGGTGTCTTACAGTAAGCTTTGCTTTTAGCTATAAATTATGCTCGGGGTTTTATTGAAGCGGGATCATTTGCATAAGTAGGAAATTGATTTGCATGTAGTGAAGGAAAGAAGTGCTTGAGGATGAACATCATAGTGTAAGTGTGAATGGCAACAAATGGTGATGACATAGAAAATGTTCAGGGCTTTATTTTTATTGCAGCGAATGACGATATTTTAAATCGGGGGTTAAAACATAGGATGCTGAAGCCTGCCAGGCGTATTCAACCCTCAAAGTGATTTGATCAATCGAAGGAAATCGACATTCAGACTACAGTGTGGATTTTCCACAGCAACATCCTCCGGACCCTGTGCCGTGGTGTTGATTCAATGAAGGTGACCTTGATGATCGATGGAAGTGTTTCAGAGCTGTTGTCTGGGACGACTTGTGAACACATTAATTAAATACTGGCTGCGTTTTTAAATAACTCCCTTGGGGTATCAAAGCCAGGTCGCTCACCTAGCGATATGGAGGGGTTCCCGCAGTGTGTTTGGTAAATAAACATCTACAGACGCTCTGCGCTGCAACAGTACATGCAACCCTGTTGGTTTTTTTGTTGGTTTTTTTGGGGTTTTTTTTTTGGGGGGGGGGGGGGTTGCGAAATGACGCTCAAGGAAATGTATGCTGTACGTTCAGAAGTGCATGTATTATCTCTGACTTCATTCATTTTCTATCCCGTTTTCTGTTCTGAAACCACTTGGGGTAGGTGGTTGGCTATTATTTCGGTATGTTTTGCTCCTTCTTTTCTATCGACATCTGTCCTCCATATTTCTCCTCCCTTTTTGTGTTTGTTACTCCCTTGTAACGTCTCCAATATTCGGCACTTATATGACCTAACTATGTTGTGAGTGTTGTAAAACGCTTACTAAAACACAAAAAGTAACCACTTGGCCAAGTGTCTAGCCTTCCACATGATGTACCAGCGTCTATTAAGGCGTGTACTTGCACACAAACAAGGACATCCGAAGTAGATGGAGGAGAATTTGTCTTGTACTGAGTTTGTCATTCAAGACATTACCCAGAGTAGACATGGCGTGGGATTCAGGCGAAGAAAAACGTGCGTAAGAGAAAATATTGAACAAAATGATGTGGTTATTGTTGTTATTGCTACTGTTGATAATGTTAAGATTAAACTACATACCATGCATATGCTTAGTTATTTCAAAGATGAGTCACGTGGTCCAACGTCTGGACGCTTGGCTGAGGGGACATATTCCAGGAAAGATGAGAGAAAAGCGATATGAACCCTACTGTGTTCGTACTTCGAACTTTTGCGTGTCAGCTCTAGTTCATGCGAACTGTTGGGAAAAAAGGAGGGGGAGCGTCACTGGTAGGTTTTACTTCTATTATTTACCGTATTATTTCTGTCCATTGCTTTTTCCCTGCACTTTATGCCCATTGTTATGTCGACTTCCTTCTTTTTGCTCAAACAAAAAAGGAACAGTTCGTAACCCAGTGCGTCGCAGTGGTCGATAATCTCCAAATGACATACATGCCTTACAGAATGGCGACGGACAAAGCAATGTTTAAAGAATAACAGTTGAACGGGGGTTGAGACAGAGAGTATGGACTTTGTCCCACATTTCTGGATTTTTTGTACATAGAACGCTGAAGTAGCCGTAGCTAACCCCCCAGGATGCCTGTATGTACATCTTCGACGTGCAAGTGCTATAAAAATGTGTGTGTTGTGTGTGTGTGTGTGTGTGTGTGTATATATATGTGTGTGTGTGTG